ATGACAAGAAGGAAAGAAAGAAAGAAAGAAAAAGAGAGAGAGAGAGAGAGAGAGAGAGAGAGAGAGAGAGAGAGAGAAAGAAAGAAAGAAAGGAGAGAAATTGTATGAATTCTGTTGTTTAAGCCACCCAGCCTGGCAGCCATAGCAAACTAAAACACACACTATTACTTAAAAGTATTGAAACCTCACACAAATAAAGAATAATACTAAAAAATACTACATAACGTATATAGAGAAAAGGACACATATACATGTGCAACTCTATGCATTTTCACAAACTGGAACAGCATACAGGCAAGAAACTGTGTAACCAGCATCCAGATTAAGAAACAGAACATTCACAGCACCCAGAAACCACCTTGCACCTTCTTCCAGTCATCCTGTCCCCCTCCTATCCTGACATCTTACAGAAAAGATTTGTTTTTGTCTTTTATACAAATAAAATCTTGTAAATACAATCGTACTCTTTTATGTGTGATGCTTTTGCTCAACACTATCTTTGTAAGTACATCAGTGATTTTAGTAACGTGTGTTGTTCACTGTTACAACAGTAAAATTATTTTGTATAAGGGCCGGCCGAGTGGCGTGATGGTTAAGAGCTGGCTTGGGACGCCAGAGGGCCCCAGATCGGATCCCACATATGAGGGCCAGTGACACTGCCCTCCACAGCTAAGATGCTGAACAACAGCTCAACCTGGAGCTGGGCTGCTGTGAGTCGCTGGCGACAGCGTAGGCTGCAGTGGAGCTGGCTGGCAGCTGGCATGAGGTTTCATGAGCTGCCGTGAGCCGTAGTGAGCAGCCATCCAATGGCCAGTGAGCGACTGCCTCACCCAGGAAGAGCGCAATGATAATACCAACATGGGCCAGTGAAGCGACAACCTCCACAACCTGACTGAAAAACAAGAGGACAGCAACTTGTCTGTTCCCCTCCCCCAATTCCCTAATAAAATCTTTAAAAAAAAAATTCCACCACCTTGTATTGCCAGTTTCTCGTCTTAGAGGCTCTACTCATTTCCATTCCCACCACCAGTATCACATTCTCTCCTGATTGTATTATTATCCACTCCCCAGTTTGACCCTAGAACCCTCACAGTCTCTGACTCTGGGGCCCACATGCGTAGGGTACATGCTCACTGAGATGTTCAGTTAATTGCTTTTCTCCAAAAGCTCTCTTCTGGTTTAAGAGAATGTGAACTGTAAGGACACCTACCTCACAGGGTCTTTAAGATCCTCAAAGTTTTCTCAATGAGAAAAACCCATGTGAAATGCTTAAAACTGTGCCTGGCTCGCAGTAAGTGCTATTTAACATCAAGTGTGTTTCTTCCTGTCACCTTCCTATGACCATATCTACCAAACTACCTGTACCCACTCCACCATCTCCAGGGCCTCTCCTGTTATTGTGGATGATGTGCCCCAGCCTTGCTCTAAGGACAGCCTCCTCACTTATGCCCTGGCTCCACTTCCTCTCTCCTTTTCAAGGACTCAGCTCCTATTACTATACCTTGTTTCTTGCAGAGTCAATTTCTCTCTCTCAACTGGAGGTCTCACAGCTGTGCAAATATTCTCTAGCATGTCCCATCTTTTAAAATCTTCCCTTATTCACATAGGATAAAGATGGCATTTTAAATCTGTAGGGGAAAAAAGATTATTGAGCAAATTTTTGTGACATTGGGGTAGCCATGAGAAAAATATAAAGTTGGATCCATATCTCAGGTTTTACAACAGATGGATAGCATATTTAAACGTGAAAAGTAAAACCATAAGGTACTTCCAAAAATGGGAGACTTAAAAAAAAATTATTGTAGTGGAGAAACCCTTTCTAACACAAAACATAAAAAAAAAGAATGAGAATTTAAAAACATAGAAATAAAACATTTTTGAGAAAGCAAAAATTACCCCGCTATTACTCAAAAGGCCTTATTCTGCTCAGAACTCTGGCGTCCTCTGAGGTTGGCAGGAAAAATCCTCTTCTGGCCCAACTCCAAACCCTATCACTCCTCGAAAACACTTCCCCAACTGCTTATGAATGAAATTCTTCCTAGAATGATTCATGCTTCTCCTTTCAATTCAATACAGAATCCCTCTGGGAGGTGTCATCTATAAAGCTGGTTTTCCTTTGTTACACTAAGAGATAGGAGAAGACTGTGCTACAAGGCTCAATGAGGAGATGCTGGCAGCACAACCAAGTAAGAGATGTCCAGAAAGGGTTGGCTGGGTTTCAAAGCTACCAACTTTTAGAGCTTACAATCACGAAATCCTGTGACTTTTATTAACATCTCTTCGATACATCCAACACTCTCAATTCCCTTTTCCAAAAAAACCCTGAACCAAATCAGATCAGTTCAGGCCACCACCATCTTTTGCCAGCCTCTGGTCTTGCCCCTATGTCATCCCAAATGTCTCCCTGCAGAGTGATCCTTTTAAAAGTGAATCTGATCAAGTCACCTCACCCATCCCCCAAGGGTTTAAATGCTTTCAAAAGTCCCTCATTGACTTTCAGATCAACCTAAATAGTGGGCAGACAAATAGGATTCTTCAAGATCTCCCCCTTATCTCTCCCCAATCACACCCCAAAGTAACCTGAACAATTTTCCCAATGGAAACAATAATCATTCCCCCCGATATTGCTGTGGCCAGCTAACCCCTGGTCATGCATGGTGCAGCTGTCACGCCATCCACTTAGGGAAGGCTTTCCCACCCTAAGTGCTATTAATAAGGTCCTCAACACTCATCCTACTTTAGCAGTTTCACACCGTGTTCTAATTGTTCATCTCCTAGTTCCTTATCCTTCCTTCCATCCCTACCCTCACCCCAAGACTTGCAGTTAGGGATTCTTTTTGTACCTGTCATAGCTCAGCACCTAGCACAAAGGCAGGCATACAATAAGTGTTCAATAAAAATATTTGTTAAATGGATGAATGAATACATAAATTGATTGTTAAGGATTATACCTATTTGTATTTCCTTATGGTTTTAATAATTAAGATTTCCGCAGAATAAATACAATTTAAAATTTAAAAAAACAGATTGAAGGAAATATACAGAGAGATATATAAATATATCTTATCTATGTATGCATCTCAAATCCAATTTGAAGAGTTTCTTTAAATTTTATAGGAAAATCACTGAGGCTCTAAAAGATAAACCATCCCCCTCAAAAAGAAATAATCCTAAAAGGCTTGAATCTTTCTAGTCAAATCCAAAGCTAGCCGACACAAAATCAAACGTGGTATCATGTCTATCATTTAACCACAGATTTGATCTCTCCCTAAAATAAGAGCGAATGTGCCTGGAGTGTACAGGGGAAGGACAAAGAAAGGATAAGGAATGAGGAAGGCACAGGCCAGATCACAGAGGGCTCATAAGTCATCCCCAGGAATTTGGAACAGGAACCACAGGGGGAAAAAAAAAGGGGGGGACCTGAAAGAGAACATGGTCATTTTGGCACCTGTTTTAGAAAAATGATTCTGTCAGGAATATGGAGAATATATTAAAGTGTGGAAAAAACAAATGCTAGAAGACTCTAGCAGTAATCTAGATTTTGTTAAGTACTTGTGTGTGCCAAGACAAGAAAAGGAGAAATTGTCTTCTAGCTTTCTTGTTTAAGAATTTAGGTGTACAGAACAGCTACGGGCCGACGCACTGGTCACTGGGGCTTGCCTTTGCTTCAAGATGTCACTTTTGAGCTGTGGGACTTTGGGGAAAGCTCCTTCATTTCTCTGTGTCTCAACTTCATTTATAGAATGGAAATAATAGTAATATCTCTTTCTACAGTTGTCCTAAGGGTTAATTAAGGAAATGCATTTAAAAGCACAGAAATAGTGCCTGGAACTTAGTAAGCTTTTTAAAGCATTGGCTGTTGTTTTATTATTATTGTTATTATTATTACTATTATTACTATTATTATCACTATTCAACAGAAAAGAAGAAACTGGGGAAGAAGATTAATTCTGTTTAAGGGCACTTCAGGTTTCAAATATTTGCGGGGACTGCCAAAAAGATGTCCCAGGAGCTGTTTCATACCTGGGGCTAGCTCAGGAAGAAATGTGGAGTGGAGAGGATAATTTGGGAGTTCTCAGCCTGTGGTTGGAAGATGTAAAGGATGGTAATTACTGAGGAAAAACCGTGAAATCCATCATTTGGGAATGGAAGTCCAGGAGAGGACCTGGGACTGAAGTCTCCAGAGCAGAGGTCAAGGAATCAAGTGTGTAGAACGTTGTCCAGAGTCCATTCACTTGGAGTTTGAATCTGCCTAGAGTAATAGTGCCATGAAACAGAAAACCTAAAGCTAAGTGCTACACCCCCAATGACTTAAACAATGAAAGGGAAGCAAATGCCCAAGGAATTTTTTCCACCAGATGAAGATCAAAAAGGGGCACTAGGAATAAGATTACGCTTCTGACCCAGACCCTACACAGGTTGCAGTACAATTGATTGGGTGATATTCTTATCCTGAGACTTTTTTGATTATCGATAATTATATCCTGTCCTTTATATCTTAATTGTCCGTTTACAAATCACTCTCAGGGATACATGGTCACATAATCAAACCTAATGAATGTTGCCGAATAACTGTCTTCTCTATATCTAATAATATGTGATACTGTCCTAGAACTACATACCTGTTTTTAATTGATTGATATTTAAAATTTCTAACTATATTTCTGGATACAAACAAAGGAGAATTTTGGGGCAGCAGGTTAGCTGAGGTGGTTAGAGTGCAGGCTCATAATACCAAAATTGCCGGTTTGATTCCCACATGGGCCACAGAGCTGTGCCCTCCACAACTAGATTGGAGACAACTGCTTGACTTGGAGCTGATGGGTCCTGGAAAAGCACACTGTTCCCCAATTAAAAAATAAATAAATAGAAATTTTTAAAAAGGAGAATTTTGAGATAGTCCCTAAGTCAGCTATTCGTTTTCAGATCTTCTAAAACATATTCTACACTCCCTTCTTTCTCCGCCCATTTCCCCTTTTCAAATCCCGTTTCTTCGGCCGAAAATCTCGCGAGAGGTCGAGATGTCCTGAATTCTCCCAGGAGCCCCCGCTCTTCCTCTTCCCGAAAGCGGCCTGAGGTAAGTGGTTCTTTGGTGTCTCTCCCCGAGTGTAGAATCCTCCGGTCATCGTCGCCATCCTGGCCACTGGGGCGCTGATCTCGAGGCTCTCGGGAGGAGAACTATTGCGGTTACCGATTCCTCGCTGAAGGCAGTGTTCCTCTGTACGGGGGGGACTTGTCGGAACTCCCGACTTGGCGCCCCGGGCCCGTGCGGCCTTTGCGGCCCGAAGAGGGGCACGATGGGCGGGAATGGGGGCTTCGGGGGTGCGGGCCGCCGCTGGTCGGTCCCACCGCTTACTTTGGAGACCCAGTGTCTCGCGGTGAGTGGGGGTCGAATACGCAGAACGCGTGGGGCAGCGACGAGAGCAAGTCCAGGGGGAGTGATGTCGGGTCGAGGCCTTGACTCGTTTGAAAGATGAGTGTCTCACATTCGCCAGCGTTGCACCGTTGGTGAGAGCCCCAAAGTGTGGAAAGACGGCCTGCCTTGTGCAGCTGTGTGAGTCAAGGGGGTGTCTGGGGAGAGGAGCACGTAGCGGGGTGTCGCTGAGCTGTGCCACGCCAGTGCGCCGCGTCTTGTTACACCTGGAGGGTTCCGAGTAGAACGGACACCTGCTGTATTCCAAAGAGCAACGGGGCTGTGAGGCCCGTGTCACTAGTCTGGTGTCAGCGCTGCTGTCCTCACGGGTGGGCGCAAAGGGACAGCGCACTGGATGGAGTAGATGGCTGCGATGATGGCGTTTCTTAGGACACCTTTGGATTAACCGTGAAAACGAAGACTCTCTGAGCAGCTATGGATCGCGTTCAATACAAATTTAGATGGTGTGAGTTGCTGTAATTATGTATTAACAGAATTAACTCTGCTCCCTTGCAGGTGACCTCTCAAAATGGTTCGCTATTCTCTTGATCCGGAGAACCCCACAAAATGTAAGTGAACCAGAAATGCATGTTTTTCTTATGTGGGGGTAAGAAACAATAAGAGACTCAAAATAAACAAAAGTGTTCTCTGTTTTTTAGCATGTAAATCGAGAGGTTCGAATCTACGGGTTCATTTTAAGGTATGTGAATCATCGTTATGCTCTAAAAGTCGTTTTGTGTGTTGCGTTTTTCGGGGTTTTTGTTTTTGTTTTTTTACCGTGCTGAAGAGGTTGCTACAGCAGTATGTTTTTAGGACACCTTTAGATTTACCGTGAAAATTAATCATTGCTGAGCAGCCATTTTCTAGATATTGATCATTGGTGTATAACGAGCACTTTGATTTAGTATATATAGATTTAGGTAAAAACTACCAGAGAACTACTTGAGAACCTGGTATATACAGTTTTAAGTTATAAGGCAAGTAACTGTAGTTACAAGATGATGGAATTAAAACATAGGCGTGAACAGAGGTTTCCCTAGCTTTAAACCAAGCCTCTTTGGCTCTTAATCACAGATATTGTCTCATTGTATTCAACATACCTTCCAAAAGTGGAAAGGTTTTCGCTATTGGTATATGTTGACATCTTGAAAATTGGAGAATTGCGTGTTTACCTTAAAATTGTGATCCTTTAACATGGTTAACTCTAGTTTATATTATTTATACTTAGAACACTCGTGAAACTGCCCAGGCCATCAAGGGTATGCATATCCGAAAAGCCACCAAGTATCTAAAGGATGTCACATTACAAAAACAATGTGTGCCCTTCCGTCGTTACAATGGTGGCGTTGGGAGGTGTGCCCAGGTGAGAATGAATGGTTGCTATTTGAAAAGACAAATTGTGAGGGAAAGTAATTGGATGGGATACGAATGGCTAAGATCTGTCTTTTATCAGGCTGTTTCTGGTTGCTGTGATGACGATCTTAGGACACCTTTGGATTAACCATGAAAAAAAAACATGTTCTGAGCAACCTTGATGTTGAATAAAAGTCATCTTGATGGTAACATTTGATTTAAATCGGGGGACATGACTAATAGCTTGTCTTTGTTTTCTTTCAGGCCAAACAGTGGGGTTGGACGCAGGGTCGGTGGCCCAAAAAGAGTGCAGAATTTTTACTGCACATGCTTAAAAATGCAGAGAGTAATGCTGAACTTAAGGTACCCAAAGCATTAACATCTATATATATATATATCTCCAACTTGGATGGTGGCTCAATTAATGGTGCTGTTCAAATCTATTATACAAATAATAAAACACTGTTGCATTGGAATAAATATAGTTACCAAAGCGGTTGCCTTAGTAATGAATAATGTGGTTTGTTGCCTACGTTCTTAATGGAGAGACATGTTAAATTTCACTTAGAAGTTAAAACTGATGTAGTCAACAAAACAGGTTTATCCATTTGGGGCATTATTCATTAAACCCACCTGAGCCAGAACTAAAATTAACATAGGTTTCTTTTTTGGCTGTAACCCTATAGCTGCTGAGCCATGCTGACAAAATTTTGTCTATTGTCAAGGCTTGGAAATTGACAGTGCCAGGTCCTGGAACTTCACTTCTCTTTAATGCGCACTTAGCACTGAGTTTTGGTAGTTACCTTGCATTTAAGGAAGGACACTTAGAGTAAAGGTGAAAACAACTGCTTGAACAAATACGCTATTTAAACGTTTACAGATTGCCTTCAAAAATGATTTTATTAAGGCAGGGACTTAATTTTCCAGTGACAGTGTTAAGATGTCACCTGATTGTGTTCCCGCTCTCTTCCCAGGGTTTAGATGTAGACTCTCTAGTCATAGAGCACATCCAAGTAACTAAAGCTCCCAAGATGCGGCGCAGAACTTACAGAGCTCACGGACGGATCAACCCCTACATGAGTTCTCCCTGCCACATTGAGATGATTCTAACTGAAAAGGAACAAATTGTTCCTAAACCAGAAGAGGAGGTTGCACAGAAGAAAAAGGTAAATGACTGTCTTTGCTCAGTTTTATTTGTTTATATTAGATTTGTGGTTGCTGTGATGACTAACTTAGGACACCTTTGGAATAACCATGAAAGAAAACTATTCTGAGCAACCGGCAGCCTCTTATTTTGGGTTTTTTGGGTCTCATTTGTTGACTGATAATAGTAACGTGCTGTTCAGTACATCAGAACTATGATAATCTCATGGCCCCACCTAGATGTCCATAGCCACTTCAAATGCAACATGTCGAAAAAAGCCCCGGCAAGTCTAATAACCCTATTATCAGTAATCACATTTGGTTGTTTTTAAAATGTTTATTGAGAAGGAATTGTCACGTGTATCACTAAGTTTGTACAGCATGGTGGTGATGTACATATATTGTGAAATGATTACAGTAGGTTCTCACAGATAAAATAAGAAAAGGAAAAGAATTTTCTCCTTTATTCGCTACTCTGTTAACTTTCCTATGTATCATATAGGAGTGTTTGCTATAGTCATGTTCACATTCAGTTCTTTAAGCCATGAAGCTGGGAGTGATTCTAGACTTGTCCCTTTATTACACCTAATAGATTTCACCTACGTTGATACAGTCACTTAATCCTCCATCCTTGCTGCCATTTAATCCTTACCAGCTGGCCTTCCTGCCTCCAGTCTTCAGCTTCAGCTCCCCTGCTTACTCCAGTTTCCTCCCGTCTGACCCTCTGGTCCACACCATATCTCTATACCGAAAGGACTCTTGCCCTTTATGCGAAGTTTCCAATTCTTTCACTGAGCTAAACCCTCCCATGTAGTGTGGGTTTCTTCAGGAAACTAAACAGTCCTTTTATTTTTGTTTTCCTTCAGATCTCCCAGAAGAAACTGAAGAAACAAAAACTTATGGCCCGGGAGTAAATTCAACATCTAATAAATGTTAATAAAAGTAAAAGCAGAATGTTGGTTGTCTTTATTAGTAAATATATTTCAAGTGTTGTCACAAGATGGATCAAACAAGTTTTCTTCTGATTAGAAACATTGTGTTTGCCCTGCATCATATATTTTGGTTCGTACATGCTATTTTGAATGTCTTAGTGATTTTTGTCTAAGATGGAATTAGAACATGGGGAAATTCTGGAATTTTCCAGCCAATTTATTGAGATTTAATACATTGTTCAATTCACCACAGTTAATGGCTTTTAGCATATTCTAAATTTCACTTAGAAGTTAAAACTGATGTAGTCAACAAAACAGGTTTATCCATTTGGGGCATGATTCATTAATTACCCTTGTGTATTTTGTTATGGCGTGTATTACCACAATTTTAGAACATTTTCATTATTCCAACGAGGAACTTGGCCAATGGTTAGCTGTCATTCCCATCCAGCCCTATTTCTTTCTACATGTTGGCCATTCTGGACATTTCATAAATGAAATGACAACATATGGCCTGTGGTCACTGGCTTTCACTTATAACGTTTTCAGGGTTCATCCGTGTAGTATGTATCTACCTTTTATTGATAAACAACTTGTATGAATATAATCGAACATTTGGGGCTTTTAAAAAGCTAACAAACTGCTTCTCGGAACCTTTGTGTTGTGTGGGCATGTTTTCTCACAGCTATGCTGAGGGGAACTGCTCGGTCATGGCAGCATTTCTAAAGGGTGCCATTTATCCCGCTGGCACTGAGGATTCCATTTTCTCCACAAATTCAACACTTGATTATAGCTATTTTAGTGGGAGTGAAATGCTATAGCTTATTTATTTTAAATACTCGAGTTGACTTAATGTACCCTGCCCTTGGATTTAAGACCCTTTTAAGTGGGAGAGTGAATAGCTTAGCCACAAATGCATTCTAAGACGGCCTAGCCTTCACTTGCAAGTGGAGTAGCTTCACATGGTGGGATGGACCGCCGCTTTGCCCTGGAACCGTACTTCCTAGGTTTCCCCGGCGACGGAAGCGCATCTCTTGCGCTGCCCGCAGGATTGGGAGGCCGCGGCAGGCCCCGCCCAGGCGCTTCCGTTACGTATTGTGCGTCGTCAGCGTGACGCAGGCACGTATTTGTCGGCCCCCTTTGAGGCGTCCATTGGCTCGGCTGTGTCACGTCCCTCCCTGCGGAAGTGCGGACATTTCCATTTGGGCTTGGTGGTCGCGGGTGAGCGGGGTCGGGTGAGCTCGGGCTTTCGTCCGTGGGTTCGGGGCGGGAACGGGCAGTGGCCTCGGCGTCGGGCTGCTCCGCAGGCTCCGGCCGGACCTCGCTAACCGAGCCCAGCCCGGGCGCGTCTCCTGCTCTGGGCCCCTCCCGGCCCTCTGCGCTCGCACGGTGTACCCCTCTTCCTCCCACGCGCGCCCCTGCCACTTGCCCCGCGCGCCCTTCAGCTTTCCGTCTGCGTCCTTCCACCTTCCTGGCGTCCGTTTCGACTTTCCCTTTGTATCCGTTTATTGTCTTCTTTGGCCTGAATTGTTGATTTCTTCGCTCTTCTGTTACCTTCACCACCCTTCGCCCTTATTCTCTTCTGTTTTTTTCAGTCGTTGTCTTTGACCCAACCTGTCCCGCTTTCTTTTGTCTCCCGTAAAATGATACGCCGAACTGGGTTACTAAAGGGGAATGCGAACGGGCATTTCCCACCCTGCCTGCACAATTTCTGATAGAGCCTCAGCCTTTGCCTCTCTATTATATTGGAGTAAGTCGAATGAAAGAAAACTGCCGTTTTAATCCGTTTTTCTCGTTGTAATATCTGAGACTTGGATTGGAGAGAGTAAGATGATAATGTTATCAATTTATCAGAGCCACCTTCTGGACTTTTCTAAGTCAGTTTCCACATGTATGGAGTAAAATAATTCACCGAAGAATTATTACGAAGATAGAGAATATACAGTAGCTTCATTCTGAAGAGAGCAAAAAGGCCATAGTTATGACAAAAGTGATTAGTAATATTTGTACTTGCGAGTTTCTTTAAAACAATGAGTACGAACTTAAAAGAATTACAAGTAGGTAAAAATGAATCTTTATGATGGAGGGATTGCCAGTCATCAATTTAGCCTAGTCCTCAGAGCATTGCCTTTTGTTTTGTTTGTTTTTATTGGGGAACAGTATGTTTTTCCAGGACCCATCAGCTCCAAGGCAAATGGTTGTTCAATCTAGTTGTGGAGGGTGCATCTCAGTGGCCCATGCGGGGATCAAACTGGCAACCTTGGTATTATGAGTGCTGCGCTCTAATCAACTGAGTTAACCAGCTGCCCTGCCATTTGTTTTGAAGGTTTAGTAGGAGGGGAATAACATAATCACTGTGTTTTTGAAAGGGGAAAACACCAGAGCCTTGAGCTAGGAAACCAGAACTGGGAATTCTGGTCCTAGTCAACTCTAGTTACTAGTTACCTCTGTGTGAACTTTGGACAGGTCACAACTTTTGCATGTTTTTTTTTTGTTTTTATCGTAACAACACATAGCACTTAATCTATGCACTCTTCTGAGCTTAGTGTGCATAGTAATTTATCTAATCCACATTACATCCCTGTGAAATAGATAGTATTATTGTCTTCATTTTACATGTGAGAGAATTAAGGTACAGGCTGGTTAAATAATTTGCCAAAAGACACCATATATAAAAAGTGGTGAAAGGTTTCAAATGCAGGCAGCTGCCAGGCAGTCGGCTTGATCTATTCTGTGGTACCTGTAAGAGTCTTAAGACTTAAGCCAGACCACCCTTTAAGTCTCTTCAGATCAGATTCTAAATGTCTATAGCCAAAAATAATGATTCCTTGAAAAATGGTGAAAAAGACCCACCACTCATTTGGTTTATTTTAATCAGAAAATTTGTTCTCCAAAATTTGGGAACAAAATATTTTGGTAAATTGTTATTTTAATTTGACTAGGGGACTTTTTTTTTAAGAATCCAGTTATGAATCTTATAAAATAGCTGATCATTCATTGATGTATTTAGATTTTTGTTTATAGCTCTTGTAATTCATTTCAGAGCCATATTAAGATTGAATCGTCTGTACCATTGTTCACTGGTATTGTGAATAATTTTAAAGTGCCTTAGTGTAGTCATCATGCTGACTCATTTGCTAGCAAAGAGTACTTAATTTACAATATTTTGAAAATAAGAAATTTTAACATCCTGATTATTAGTCTTATGCACTGTTCTGAAGCTTCTTAGTTTTTAAGTCCCCTAAGGGATTAAAAATTATTGTAAATATAAGAAGACTTTGGTTTAATAGTATATTGTGGAAGTAGTATTGATTCTTTTTCAAGAAATGGCTGATTTTGAGAATTCCAAGATGATTTCTCATCAAGAAAATTAGAAGTGTTAATTTTTGGAAATGGACAAATTGCTTATAACAATAATAATACTAAATAAGTTTTTTAAAATTATTACTCAGTACACCTTAATAGCCATTAGAAAAAAAAAAAAGCAACTATATCAAGGGAAAATTGTTGCCTGGGAAAGGCCAACCAGTTCGCAGCCTAGAGGTCTTCCAATGTGATATCTTAGAGTTCCATATTACAAGATTTGCTCTTAGCATTGTAGGTTTAGCTACTTGATATTGTCAGCCCCTGAAGGTGATTAGGCCCTTATACTCACACTAAACTGGAGTATAAGTCGTAATTACCAAATTCCTTAATGTTTTGTGCCTCCTTTGCTTTATTTGTAAATTGAGATAGCAAAGGTACCCTACCTCACTAGGTTGAGGATTAAATGAGTTACACAGTTGTCCCTCGATATCCTCAAGGAATTGGTTCCAGGACCTCACCCCACATCCCTCCCATACCAAAATCCCTGGATGCTTAAGTACTTTATGTAAAATGGTGCAATATTTGTATTATAGGCTAGAGTATACCTACCTCATTTCATTTACATGGATTCAGTGAAGTGCTTGGTGCATGGAAATTCAAGTTTTGCTTTTCGGAACTTTATGGGATTTTTTTCCCCCAAAATATTTTCAATTTGAGGTTGGTTGACTACATGGATGCAAAACCCAGGGATACAGAGGTCCAGCTGTATATGCAAAGCATTTAATTGCCTAGCACCCAGCAAGTGTTGGTGTCTTTCCTTTATCATTAAATTTATGGTTGGTGAGCAGTGATTGGATAGGTTTGGAGGCAGGAACCTCACTATTATTTTCATGCCTACCACCTAGTATTCTTTTACCTTGCAGAAAGCAGCATTTTATTTATTTATTTATTTATTTATTTATTTATTTATTTATTTATTTATTTTAAGTTTGTAGCAGAAGATAGCTTTATTTCGCAGAAAGTTGCGGCTCTGTTAAGGAGAGGGCTCACGACTCAAAATCAGCATTTTTAATATACTCTTAATTTTAGCTAGTGGTATGATGTAAGATTTTCATTTAATGTAGAAATAGTCCATTCATATATCTTCATCTAGGTAAATTCCTTCAGTTATTAATCTATGATGAACTAATTTATTTTTTCTTCACATATACCAACAGTTCAAGAGCTCAAGCCTGGGACAATGGTGTGCATTCCTTGTATCGTCATTCCAGTTCTGCTCTGGGTCTACAAAAAGTTCCTGGAGCCATACATATACCCCCTGATTTCCCCCTTTGTTAGTCGTATATGGCCTAGAAAAGTTAGAGAATCCAATGATAAAACTCAAGGGAAAGTGGACTTTAAGGTAAGAACATTAAAACACCTTGAATAAGGTGGGGGAGGATACAGTCAGGGTAAAATACTTGGCTTTTGGAAAGACAAGTTCTTGGAACCAGAACCCTCATTCATGTGTCTTAATTTCTTGCTTTTTTAAAATAGGGGGTTTGGGTTTTTTGGGGTTTTTTTAAGTAATTTAATGTTTGGTTTAAACTAAGGTTTTAAACTAGGCCTCTAATTAATGCATTTGCTCCTTACCTTATGGCCATGATAATAACCAGTATTTCCTGGCTGTTACAAGTAATAGTTAATAGGTAATGGATGAGAAGAGATGATGTGAAAATAAGCCAGTTTCATTGATTGATAACTTTGGTAGGAGATTCAATTGGAGAGCCATAGAGATTTTTTTGAACAAAATTTTTTTTTTTTTTAAAGATTTTTATTGGGGAATTGGAACAGACAAGTTGCTGTCCTTTTGTTCCTCAGTCTAGTTGTGGAGGACGTTGTTTCACTGGCCCAATTTGGCACCATCATTGCGCTCCTCCCAGTTAAGGCAGATCAGTCGCCGGGTTCTGAACGGCCACTCATGGCGGCTGCTGGCTGCTCACACTGGCTGCTGGCTACACACGGTAGCCCATGGCAACCCACTGCAGCCTACGCCATCTGGGGCGACTCACAGCAGCCCAGCTCCAGGTTGAGCTGTTGTTCAGCATCTTAGCTGTAGAGGGTAGTGTCACTGGCCCTCATATGTGGGATCCGAACCGGGGCCCTCTGGTGTCCCAAGCCAGCTCTTAACCAACGCGCCACTTGACTGGCCCATTGAAATTATTTTTTAAATGAGTATTTAGACAACCTATTGTCTTTAGCATTGGTGCTTTTTTTTTTTTAAAGATTTTATTGGGGGATTGGGGAAGGGAACAGCCAGGTTGTTGTCCTTCAGCCTTAGTCGTGGAGGGCAAAGCTAGCTCAGTACCAAGTCCATTTGCCATCTGGTCACCCTTTGGCAGCTTGCGGCCGCTCAGCTCAAGGTGCCAAGTTCAATCTTAGTTGTGGGTGGGCGTAGCCCACCATCCCATGCGGGAGTCCAAACGGCAATCTTGTTGTTAGGAGCGCGTGCTCTCAACAGCTGAGCCATCCTGCCACCTTTTGGCAGCTCAGCGGGAGCTCAGCTCGGGCGCAGCTCACTGGCCCATGTGGGAATCAAACCAGTGACCCTGTTACTCAGAGCTCGCGCTCTTAACCAACTGAGCTACTTGGCCGGCCTGCATTGATTGGTGCTTGTTATGTTTAACTTCGATTATGTTCAATTGCACTGAGCCATCCTGCATGTGTTTAGAAGCAGAGTTTTTTCATTCTGAAGTTTATAGTCTGTTTTTAAAGAGAAGATCTATAATGAGTGTCTTTCTGTTGTAATATCTAAAATGGTTTTTCATTTTAGGATGCAGACATAAATGGATTACCATCAAAAGGACCAACAGAAATCTCTGATAAAAAGAAAGACTAAAGTGATTGTCCCCAAGGACCTCATTGTTTTCAAAATGGACCTGATAACCTGAAGCACCTTCTTTGTAATTGTCTCTGACCTTTTTCTCTTAGACCAGAATTCGGGATAGATAGTTGAGATATTTACCTGACACTAATCAGGAAATTCATGGTATTTATATTTAAAATGTATTTAGTTGTATTTAATTATCTCATTTCTGAGTTCCCGTTTCATTAAAGTAGCTTTCATTTCTATTATTGCAATTTTAATAATATGATAAATAGAAGGTTTGTGCCAGTGGACACTGTTACTAAATCAGTACCTGACTATCCTCAGGCCTCTCGCTTTTGTTCAGGCCCTTCGAATTGGAGCCGAGTACATTTTTACTGTGAACAGTGTGGTGAGACTGTGCAATGAGATGAAAGAGACTTTTTGGAGGTGATAAGACTTGAAACATAAAGTTATAATAACTGCCCAACACAATGGAGCAGTTTATGTACACAGCAGTAATTACTGTTTAGTGCTCTGAGGAAGATAGCAAAGACAGGGAAATGGGGAAATTTCTTTGAAAAATGGAACACCTTTTATATAAATACGTATATTACAAAATTCTAATGCTTGTTGCATTCCTTCTATTCCTGTAAAATATTAAAATATTAAATATTCAGTTTAGCTTGTGGTTCCTTTTTAGGCTTAATTTTTATTGATTGATTGATTGATTGATAGCTAGCTAGGCAGCTCTGCTCAGGCCAGGCATCGAACCGCTGTTGCTCGGAGCTCAAACTCTTAGAGCGAGCTCTTAGCCAACTGAGCCACTCTGCTGGCCCGGCTTAAATATTTTTTAGAAGGGACATATTTCACCATATCAGAAAGCAGAATTATAATGTGATGGCATCTGGATAGTCTGAGAAAATACTTTTTTTTTTTTTTTAAGAAGAGATTATATCAGTTATTTATTGCTGCATAGCAAGACACTCTAAAACATAGTGGTTTTCAACAGCAGTGTCATGATTAGACTGTTTCAACAGCAGTGTCATGATGAGACTGTTCTTTGCCGGGCTGGGCCTCTACGTGGTCTTTTATCCCTGTGCTGCTTCACTTCAGGGACCTGTATAAGTTAGAGGTGATGAGCCGTATCTTTATATCATATTAATTTATTCCCCCTGAAGCAGGGAGAGGTTAAAAGGGACTCCTGTCCTTGGGTCCCCAGTAAAGTCCTGGGTCCTAACTATGTGTGTAGTCAAGTCATTGATTCCCCCTGGACTTCACTTGATAAAAATCAGTAGGTTTCAACTTTTCTGCCCCATCCCACCTGAGCGATAAGGTAAATTCCCTTTAGCAACTAAATTCAGTTGATTAGTTTGTTCTTTAAGGTATAAAAACTATGTTATAAAAATAGCAGATGTTCATAGTAAAACAATGCAAAAGCAAGTTAAATCAATGAGAGTTTCACTACTCATTCCCTTATTCTAGCTGCACAGATGTAACCACTATTAGACTTTGTGTAGCCTTCTAGAAAGTCTCTTAACATTAATTTGTTTTTGTTAAATATATCATTTTTTAAATCATAATATTGCAGGGTTTTTAATGTCCCTATCCCCTTAGTCCCAAAGGGTTTACTGATTTAGCTGTTGCTTTTGTCTTATGTTTTATCTCCATATTTCTAAATTATATATACTGCTATTGTTGGATCTATCAACTTTAGATATTATTGACTTCCTGCCATGATTGAGACATAACTGCCCTACACTATATTCCTTCTATTACTGCCACACATCCTCCCTATATGTTTTTGTAATTTTTGGTTAAGTCCTTAATCAGTGCTTATATCATGAGTGTACTAGATGTCTTCCATTTGCCCCTCCAAATCTGTGTTCCCTTCACGCTACTTTGCTGCCCAAGAAAACTGTGTGAACTATATCAACAGAATTTTCATGGCCTCTGGGCTCTGTGGGATTTGGCCAGTGGGGATCTGAAGCAGGAGATGGGAGGAAGGAGTAAATTCAGGGTATTTATTCCCTTGGGTTCCTCCCTTTAAGGCCTCTTCAGGCCAATTGTGTTCCTCAACCAAAAGCCACTGCACCTCCAGGTGGCCAACTCCACGTGACTCCTTTCAGTGTCCACTAACCTATCCCTTTCCTTACCTTTTGGGCCTAGGGGTGATAACATCTCTTACTACTGGTTCTGGGTCACTGCTGTATCTCAAGGGTGTCATCTGCTTTCTGGGACATTAACTGATAGAATGAGCATGTAAATACTGCCCAATGCATAGACTGTAGTGTGATGCGTTTTCTCTCATATGCATGTGTTGCTGTCCTGGAGTGAGTTACTACCTTGTCCTCTCCATATATGTCCTCTTGTGACTTGCTGCTGCCGAGCCTGGTGCCCAGTGGCAGTTCTTGGGCCTTTTCTTAGCCTCTCCTGTGTTGGAGCTATTGTTTCCTGAATCCCACACCTTCCTCTTGGTTTGCTCCCTCATTTTTTCTGTAGCACACTGGTTTTCTAATTTAATACTCTTATAAGGTTGAGTATGGATAATTTTGAAAAGATCTCCCATATCATTCTGGTTCATTTAAACCCACTTTCCCTGAAAATTGCTGGTCTTCTAAGGCCTTTTCCACTTCTAACAGCCTCCCACTTGAGCACTGGTTCCCAATCTTGTATTTTACATGCCAGTGAAGAAATGGTATTTGAAAGGTTGAGAGGATGATACACAGTTGACAACTTTTTATTTTGCCAAGCAGGATTATATTGAAAAGCTCTAACTTATTTCATAAAAGAAGACACCAAAAAAATGAAAAAATATTGGGATAAAGAATAGCAATAGCCCACTTGTTTGAATAAGCTTATGAAAAGTATTTTATGAAAAATTTACTGTTTTGTCCATATTTTTCTTTTTTAGTCTGATAGTTGATTAGTGAAAATTTATCGCCTATCCCTGGACTGGACTGGTAGCCACTGTTGTATACCACACAAGTGTTCTCTTGCCCCAAATTATCAATCCTACCATCTGTCACTCTATAGTTCAGGGTTGCCTTTCTAGTAAGAGTTACTATTTGTTTAACACATACGCCTGGCACTGTGCAATGGTATTTCACACACATGACCTTATCTGATCCTTAGAAAACTGAAATACAGTCACAGAAACAGGATCATAGAGTTTAAATATGTTACCTGGAGAGTCTAGGATTTCAAAGACATACATTTAATTTACATAGTTTTAAAGATTGACTCCCTAGGGGGCAATCACAGCTGCTAGTAAAACAGTGGGAACAACTGGGCAGAAATGGACTAATCAATGTCTGTGGACTTATTTTAAAGTTTTAATTTTGCTCACCTTGCAGCATGAATTTCTAACCTACCTAATTTTCAGTACTTTGTTTTTGCCCTAGTTTTAACTGCATTTCTTGTCTTTTTTCTAAGACAGGCTCATTTTCTCAGGTAATTATTCAAGGCTCACCCGAAACTCCGATTTTGTCACTTTTTGTTTGCTTTCCTAAGAAACAGGTCAGTCAGCACCTCCTCAAAGTGACTACCACTTGATGTCTTGATCTATTCAACAGACTGATACGATTAAGAACTTTTAACTACTAATTTTAAACTTCCAGAACTCTAAAGCTAAATTTCTTGGTTTCACGCATAATCAAAAGGAGGAAAGGGTGGGAACTTTCCTGTGGTTTCTTCCCCAGGGAGCTACTGGTAGTTCCATCCTCCAAGCTGTCTTCATTAACGTGGTGGCAGCTCCTTAAAGAAGCACACAGTTCACTTACTGGCTGTGTGGTCCTTGTCCAAATCCTCTCATGTCCCTAGACTCAATTCCTCATCTCTAAAATAAAGGGACTTAATTAATTGCCGGCGTCCCTTCCCAGTTGTAATTTTTTATAACTACTTGTTCAGCCAGCCTCTGCTTGAACGTGTGTGGGGATTGGAATCTCCTTTTTCTTCCAGGTAGACCATTTCACTGCTAGTCAGCTTACTTTCAGTTAACAACCTACTGTGAAATGCTTTCCAAGTCATTAACTTTCTACACCAATCCTTTCTCATAGGGTTGTTTAGAGATTTAAACAAAATAATAGTGTATGGCTCATAGCAAACAACATGTAATGTGAATTGTTAATTATTACTACTGATATTGATGTCAGAAAGTTCTTTTATGGAGCTGAAATCTGCATTCTATAAATATTTTTTTAGCATCCTATAACTTTAAACTTTGGTCCTAATTTGTTTCCCTGGGACAACACAAAATAAATTTAGCTAAGCCCTTTGAGACCAATAATCATATTTATCTGAAGTTAATCTATTGGGTTGTCAGAAAAGTCATGATGTATTTTTTTCTATGTTTTTCATTGCAAAAATGCGTCATGACTTTTCCAACAACCCAATAGTTGTTCATACTCAGTTCTGTCAGCCATTCCATAGTTGACATGATTTCCAGACCTCTCACCATCCTGATTGCCCTTCCCATGTTAATCTAGTTCTGGTTAATCCATATCCTACTTCTGAGGAATGCTCATGAACTGGCAACTATAACGTGTGAGTTATTACCATCTGAATTATGCAGGTGAGCTAACATTTATTGAAAAAAGCATGCTACATGCATTACTTTAATTCTCACAGCAACTGTGAGATATGAGTGAGGTATTACTGTCTCCGTGTTACAGAGAAGAAAACTAGGCTCAGAAAGCTTAAGTAGTTGCCAAAGAATGCATGTTTGTGTTCCTCCAAAATTCATAACCCTAACCCCCAATGGGGTGGTATTAGGAGGTAGGACCTTTGGGAGTTAATTAGGTTTGGATGTGGTCACGATGGTGGAGCCCTCATGATGGGATTAGTGTCTTTATGAGAAGAGAAAGAGATTAGAGCTCTTTCTCTGCCATGTGACGATACAATGAAAGGACACCATCTGTGAACCAGGAAGAGGGCCATAACCATACATCAGATATGCCAGCGCTGTGATCTCAGACTTCCCAGCATCCAGAATTGTGAAAAATAAATGTATGTTGTTCAAGCCACCCAGTCTGTGGTATTTTGCTAGAGCAGATAACTAAGAACTAAAACAGTAGCTTTCCCAAAATCATTCAGCTCATAATTATTATGAAACCAGAATTCAAACATAGGTCTGACTCCAAAAGTCTGCTCTTCTTTCTCAGGGAAGTGGGAAACCTGAACACTGTTGTTGCAACAAGCTCAAAGCAATAATCTGGATAACTGCTTGTGGGGTGGCCTGTTAGGCATAGGCCTTTTTGGTTCTTTAAGGCCTAAAAAAGAGAGCGAAGACTATATTCACACATGAAGTCTGTATTGAACTTGCAACACAAAAAGCTGCACTCCAGACCCTGTAAACCAGTAATTATAAAAACCTGGTAGATTTTGAAGTACAACTGGTCTACCCACTAGACTCCCCTTCATGCCCCACTCTTCTTTTCCTCCTGTTTTTAATGTTGCAGTTTTGTGTATTTCATGTGTTTGCAAGCCACCTTAAATACTTTTAGGAAGAAGAGTATAAACAAACTAACAAATGAATAATTCGTCCTGCTGTTTCCTTTTTACTACATCATCATATCTGAACTGAACTTTCTGGAATACAAGCAAGCTCTTTTAGTAGGCTGCCCTACTTACCAAGTTTACAGTCATTGAATATCTTTTAATTTGAACCACACCCTACTTTTTCT